CCCATCTAAATTTCTTTACACAAAACACATTTACAATGAGTGTTGGTGAGCAAGTTGCCGATTAAGGTCCCTCACAAGTTGGCAACATGTCCCAAGCATCTCATAACCTATTTCCTTTAATTATCATAATAGTCCTCTTTGTTTCATTCCTTCTTTCTTCCCATTACAATGAGCGTCAGGGAGCAAGTTTCCGAGCAAGGTCTCTTATAAGTTAGCAGGCATGTCCCCAAGAATCTCACAACCTATTTCCTTCAATTATTATAATCATTCATCTTTGTTTCCTTTCTTTTTTCTCTTTCTTTACATCTACAATGAACGTCAAAATCAAGTTGCTAACAAGGCTACTCGCATGTTCTCACACATCTCACAACATATTTCCAATTATTATAATCATTTCACAAAATATTTTCAACTATTAGAATCATTTCTTTTCTCTTTTTGGGACGAGTAAAAAGAGACTATGAAAGAGTCAGAACAAAGTTAATCAACTAAAGAAAAAAGTATTGCTGATCACAACTTTCAAATTTACCCTTAAATAACAATTTTAGTTTCACAATTGACTGGAATTATCCTCGTGATAATATCCTTTAGCATGACTATCGTCATGCATCAGGTCATTATTCTCGCTCAGATCAGTTTATTAAAATCAAAGAAAATATACTATGGGAGAAAAAAGAGAATCGTGAGTAAGTGATATATATACATATATATTTTCAATATTCTCACGATTAATCTTTTTCTTACTTTTCTAGAACTACATTCGAATACATTTTTCTTTAATTCAAACTTATAAGCTGTTATACTAAAGGTACACTCAGTTTTACCACTGTGAAGGTTGTTACAGTATCAACTTACTTCCAACTTATCATTTTTGAGAGCGGTGTGGGGGTACACAGCTGTATTTATTTATTTATTTTTATTTTTTTTCATCACCAATTTCACATATCAGCTAAATAATTTTTCTATATTTGCAGTTTTTTTCTTTTTTTTTTTAACTCATTGATATTGTGTAGAGTGTGTGAAGAATTGGCATTTCAATTCTGATGATCCTAATCTTCACTTTGACTAATTGTTCTACCTTTATTTGAAATTGGTATCAGTTTTCGAGTTTGTTAAGTATTTAGATTTATAGTTTACGTGACGATAATTGGGGTTTTTTTTCGACTTTCAATTTTTCCTCTTGCTTATAGATATACATAGACCAACCTTATAGAAGAATAAACTTCCCTTTTGCAATTGGTCAGTTTTTGACCTATATACTTTAACCCAAAAAGTCTACTATCCATATGTCAGCTACGTGAAGGTTATCAAAGTTCTCATCATATGGAGACCAAGTCTCGTTTCTAAATTTATTTAACAGCATTTAAAGGTAGGTTTTCTACATAGTTATTCAAGGCTTCCACTAGGAAAGAGTTTCATTCCGGTTATACTGCTTCTTTATCTGTTGTTGCATGTTACGGCATGTTTAAGTTCAGAGTATGGTCTGAGAACTCCATTCTGCAGGTCCTGCCAAACTACCGTATAGGCGTGAAATAACGCTAATGGATGTTATTTTGAAATTTGGAACCTTCAAAAATATAATACATGTTGTGCGTCAGATTAAAATTTGCGTCAGGTCAAAATTTAAATACGGAGTTTCATTAGAGCTCGGGTCACGAACCTAGTATCCCTCTAAAAAAAGTTACCTAACTGAGTTTAAAAAATATCGATATCCTATATTATGATAATAATGATGAACATATATTTACATGACAAGTTTAATAAATCACGTTTGTTTTATTATTACTATTCATGCAATTCCAGATAAAATCAAATGATATAATCTTTTTCTTAATAATCAAACATTAATACTATGGCGTAAAGATATTAAATCAGAATGGGAAAAAAGTTGCAAGTTGTCAACAAGAGCAAATACTTGGTTGATCATAGTTATTAGATTTGTTTGTCACTCATTTTTAAAAAGTAGATTTTTTATATGCAAACACCTTGTTGCACCTGTTGGAATT